AGTGAACGACTGGCGGTATGTGTTCGCTCACTTCCCAATCTATAGATTTTTTAGACAGTTTCAATGTCACATGTCGGCTCTAACTATAAGGATGAGTGAAAATAACTTACCTCATAGTTCTCTTTTAATGGGAAAGTTGCCGTTTGCAACATTGCCTGCTTGGTTAAATACGCTGAAAATATTTAACAATTTCTGCTATAATGTTTTACATGCTTCCCCTTATATTGTAAATCACATATACATTTACTCGCTTTCTACTTCCTGCAATCACTTCTTCCTGAGTAGGGTGGGATATAATCACACTAACAAGGGATGCATCTTTCCTTTGAATCAGTGGATCTCCTGGATTCATTCCCAGAAACTGAAAGAGACACGGGGGGTTGAGGGTTGGGTGTTGATTTGCTAAAGGCAAAAAGGCTTTAAAAGGGCATTTTCCCTTATCAAAGAATACCCAATCACATGCAAGCAAAATAAAAGAACAGTATTTTTGCTTGCACCTGATTGGATGATAAAAGTCAGCAGAGCTTCACCTCATTTACTCTACGACAAGAGAGCATTCCATTATAAAGTGAACAGCCTATTTGCCTTTAGTAAATCAGTTTTCAAATTTTACTCACTATTATGACCACCTGGAAATATATTTTATATAGGTGGATATAAAGAGGTTTTCCATGTATTATGGATGTTAAGCATCAGATGTCCAATTATTTAGTTGTAGAGTAATATGGTAATTTGGAAAGAAGGGTTTTGTAAATAATTTTATAGAGATTTATAAGCATTTGTAATAAGTTAGTATATAAGTATATAGATAAATATCCATTGCTTTTTGAAGATTTGTAATTGCATTTCAATTGAATTCAAGTATTAAGACCATGCTGAAAGATTGAACAATTAAATCAAATTGTAACAAAAATAAATAAATTGTGATATGACCAGAGTTGAGATAAGAAAAAGGTTACAGGGAACAGCAGTACAACAGATTGTACATTTAGGGATACGATTTCACTTCTTGTGACTTTCTGTATTAAGGACACCTGATACAAAGAAGCAAGTTTTAGAAGATCATAGCCTTCTGCATATATAACTAGAAAGGTAATATTCATTAACATTAATTGCAACAATATTTGGGTATAAGTGAAATGTATTTTCATAACTTTTTTTTTTTATAACAAAAGTGACTTTAAAACTATTTTATTTTACATATCTGTTAACATTTACATTAGTTTAAATGGTACGAAGGGACATTCTAATAAATGCTAGACTCACATTAGAGCTGTAACACTGCACTGTGCCAGCATATTGCAGCTTCCCATTCCTCAGATGTGGTGGCTGCATTAGTCTACATTTTCCAGGGATTTTTCCCTTTTTTTCACCTAGTGATCATACCATGAACACGCTTTCCTGTCCCTTTGTGCTTATATTAAGTTTCCCCCTGTATCTATGAAGGGAGCCATGGATGCCATACAGGCTGGACTTTAAACATGTCTGCCTTTGTTTATCTCCATTACATGGTGGATTGATAGGACTAGTAGTTGCTTTATTATACACTCACAATACAGGAAGTGTGAAGGTACCACTTAAATTTAGATCTTGTAGAACATATAAAACATGCAGGGTAATTAAATCTAGATTTCACTTCCTGCTTGCTATGGGCTACATAAACGAATTATTATATATGGAAAGTGTTAGAGCAAGATAAATACACACACACACACTCATATACATAGGTTGAATTGGATGGACCTTGGTCTTTAGTCAACCTTACATACCTACTATGTTAAAATAAGACATGTTATTCTGCCACTTATAGCTCTTCCACATATCGTAACATGAGTTTTTAAGAATAGATGTACTTTTAACATAAATCAAGTTAGAGATTCCAGCAGCCTGGCTTGCCTTCTGAATGGTAACCATTGAGAAGACAGGATACCTTCACCTGAGCTCCTTGTTAGTCTCCTGCAATGCAGCTGGCCACAACACGTGTCAACCTCTCATCTGCAACAGTCTAGCCTTACTCATATTTTTTGGCAGCTTACCAAGGATTGCACCACCTTCCTCCCTTCTCTTAGGTTTACAACCATTTAACTGTGTTCATTGCTTGCTAGATATTGGAATCACTATAGCTTTCCTGTTATCTCTCGTATATATCATTTGATACCCATGGGCTTTGGCAATATGGGCATGACTTAGGTCTTGACTTGCCATTTTAGGACTTGTTCATCGCTGTTTACATATGTACTGGGACTTACGCATTGCCCCAAACATAGAGCGTGTGAGTTTGGGGCAGTACGTCCTAGTACACATGTAAGTAGTGGGGTTTCAGTACATACAGTACAGCTGCAACTTCACCCAATCTGTCATTGATTTCTACAAGATGGCAATACACAGCTGTATGGTTCACCTGTTACTCCCAGCCAGAGAAATACATCGGGATATTCGCTGTACATTGTGGCCAAGTGCAAGAGGTGATTTTAAGTACACCACCAAATATATTTGGTGTTAACAGGGCACAACCAAAACAATTGTTTTTGTGTTATGTGTTGCAGTTTGCACTGGATCACCTGCAGTTTTCATACTACTCAACATTTCTTGTATTATTATTGCTGTTACATTAAAGCGGTTTTTGAATAATATGTAGTGGTGCAGAACAGCTTTTGGTTGTGTGCGATTGTGAAATCAGGTGACCATTGACCCTATGACTGCCTCAGAAATAGCAACCCCATATTTCTATACTTCCCATTGTTTTCTTCTCTTCCGGAATGTCACCCACTCTGACTGCACTCCCACACATCTCCACAGTCTATGATAGACAGATCGAGATAGTTAGCTTGGCCCTATGGGGGTTTCGGGAGCAAGGATCTTAGCACCCATTCAGGTCTCCTTTGAAGAAGCTTGTTCACAAGCCTTCCATAGTCTGGATTAAGGAATTCCAGGTAATGTAGTCTGAGGCTTCCCTGAACTGGAGCAGTGACAAAGAAGTTACTCACACAAGTAACTGCAGCAATCTGCTTAGAAAGACATGTCTATTTTATGTACAAAGTGTGTACACTGCAGCCATTTGTTTTGTTTGTTTTTTTTGTAATTTCCAGAAACAAGGTGGAATAACACTTGAAAGAGACCCTCCAGCAAAGAACTTCTCAAAGTATTCCTCCAGGTGAGCTGAGACCTCACCCCCAACTAATCAATTTGATAAACACTTACAACATTTGTTGTGGTGTTTTTTTTTAGAGAGGACTCGGATATTCATAAAACGTAGACATTTATTGAAATTCTTTAAAAAAAGGTTTTTGTTTATATCTATAAAAATTAGGAACAGTGCTCATATACATACATGATTCCTATGTCCCTGAAAATGACTCCTTATTTACACATTATATAGATAATTGTATACAAAATTCATAATTCATATCATTTTAAACGTAATCATAATTCATTCAATTTCGTTTGTAGTGCTGTATCACTTGATAAATCCCCTACGCGCTTCGCTCGCAGGCTTCTTCAGGGGGTTTTTGTGTAAATTTAAGCATAGATCTAGTTTTAAATACATGATACATTGTTCATCAACAATATTCATCCATAATACATAAATTTATAATTCATCATTCATCTAAAAAACCCCACCACAACAAATGTTGTAAGTGTTTAAAGAGACACTATCACCAGGCTTTATGTTAAAATAATCTTCATGAACCATTGATTGCCACCAAATTTTGACTACAGGCTCCTTCATACATAACATAAAAAATGTCTATGTATTGCTTTTACCTGCAGTTTTTAAGTAGGTGACAGGGTCTCTAAATAGTTCTTTGAAGGTATACAGTCTATATCGGAGGTTGGCAACCCCCGATACCACCCTTCCTGACACAAGCCTGCTTTCACAGTCTGCACATACTGTAAGGTTTACAGCATCTTCAGCAGGATTTCTCAACTGGAGTTCAGCCTCTAAAGGGTGGCAGAGTGGGATGATAAGAGGATGCATTTGGGCTCAGCAGGAAGGAGGTACTGACTAGGCTGGTAGAGGAGTTCTAGGTGCAGGCAGCATAAATAAACCAGTGTGGAGTGTACAACCTGCAAGGACTGCCTTGAACACATGCTTGGACATCACTGGGTTCTTTTAAACTGGAAATGTAGAGCTGGATGTTTTCAGCTGCAGAGCAACTGGTGCAGGTCAGTGCTGTGAAAGGGGGGGTGATGGGGTTTTGTGAGTATTCTGATGAGAGGGAAAGCTTCAGGTCTATTATATGTTCCCTGTACACCCCTGCCTGTCCGTCTCAGCTGTCCCATAACACCAGACATTTTCCTCCCACTGACCACCTACAGCTGGGCTTTTTTTCTTTCTCCCGCTTACCATCCAATGACCAGCAATGTAAGGGGCTCTGATGCACACTCTTATCTGCTGCAATCTTTATGCTGTGCTGTACGGTACATACCCTTCACAAAACTGTCTGTTGTTTCAACACTTGCCGGTTACGAAGTAGCCTGGAGTAAATACAGGGACTGTGGCGAATGTGTGCAATTTTATACTGTGCCTCAACATACACTCTGTTTAACCATACCCCTTTAAACTACACCCAAAATTCATCCACTATGTAGCCATGACCATTTTTTCTGCAGCACACTGTGTACACCGCATTGACCTTACTAAGGGAGGTATGTTATTACAGTCATTGAAACCAATGATGGGGGTTATTTTTGCAAAATGTCATTTATAGCAGCACAATTTACTTACTAAATATTCATCTACTTGTTTGATAATGTGTAGAAAGTGGAAAGCAAAACGTATGTTTTATATATCTGGCACTCACAATTTCTTACAAACATTTTTGGTACGCTACGCTCAAAAGGATGCCTACCCCTGGTCTATATGTCACATTTATTACAGAGTAAGTACACAGCACAACTTCATATAATAATTTTATAAAAGCCTGTATTTAGTTCATATACATGATGTATTTATATAAGTCACAGTGGTATGTCATAATAAGGCAGTCTTTATACAGTATGTTCACATTCAGTTTCTTTCCGGTACAAAGATACCATGAAATCCATAAGGCATCTGCAAAGGCACTTCCGCTCTGGCAATTTCTGTGAAGTCTTTTGCATCCAAGATTAAAAGAAATGTATTTTTATCCTAAAAACAAAGAGAAACAGAGAGAATATATCATACAATAAGGTTTCTTTTGCTCACTGATCTGAACTGATTTGGTAAATGTTATTTCTCCTTCCGCCCTCTAGTGTAAAATACTGGAGTGACACCATTTCTGCTGGCAGATAACAGGAACTACCATATGCCAGAGCTTTCCTTTCTGTATCCTGAGTATGTGCTAAATGCAGAATTGTTTCTAGATTATCTAGGAAACTGTTCCAACACAAACGTCCCTGAATAAAATGTAATGTCTTTTAAAAGTGTATTGTGACAGATTCTCCTGATAGCTCACCACCTCTGCTAATACTTACTTTCAGCCATTCTGTTTGGCTGACAGAGCTCTGAGTTAAAAGTCCTGTGTAAGCTTTGTGTCAGCCTGTATTAGAGCTTGCACAAGGCTGATGACCTTCCCCCTGACCCTACAGCACAGTGCTTGTGCCTAGTGATTATCAGCTCAGGTACCGTATACTGCATACTGACAGGAGGGGGAGAAGGTCACATGCTCCCCCCATATTCGGAATTACTGGGTATTTCCGAGGGCTCCAACAGGCAAACAGAGTGGTGGTTGAGGACATTGAAGGGACGTATTGGTGATGAGGGAAAGTAACTATAAAATGTCACTTTTCCAACAATGAGTAGTGAAAGATGTACAGTATAGAGGTTTTGTAAATAATTTATTTACCTGTGGTCAATTTTTATATATATATATTTTTAGTCAGGTATAATTTTTTTTAACTCCCATTGATACATCCATTATCAAAATGGTTCAGCCCAATGTTTCAATCAGACCAATTGTGCCTCAAAGCAAGCAGCTGTGCTTTGCTATCACTCTAGCTAATCCACGGTGCTATGAGGACCCTTTGTCATGTATTCATTTTTTTTTATCACTAAAAAGATTGTATATAGTGAACAAAATACAAAACAAAAGTTTAAAGTATAGAACAACAACAAAAATAAAAATGATCTTAAACTATAAAAGTTTCCCATAAATATATAGTATAGATATTACAAATATATACAGTTTAAGGATCGTTAGTAAATATATTTGCGCATGGCAGAAGGCATCTGCACTCATTACAGCTTCATTATTAGGGTCAGTTTACACTAAGAATTGCACTAAAAGCACAATACAGTGAGGGTAATTTATCAAAACTGGAGCAAACAAAATCTGGAGCAGCTGTGCATGGCAACCAATCAGCTTCTCTCTTTCATTTTAAAATCTCAACTGAACAAACTGAAGAGAGATGCTGATTGGTCGCCATGGACAACTGCTCCAGATTTTGTCTGCTCTAGTTTTGATAAATTCCCCCCAGTGTGTTTAGCCCAGCTATCGCACAGCGCACCTAGTATGCTATACTGTGTGCTAGGTGTGTTGTGTTGCAATTCATCTGAATGACACCTCAACGCACCTCCCGCCAGCCATGCGTAGTGTATGCAATACAGCTCTAATCTTCTTTTGTGTATAGTAAATAATAGATATTATCACAGCACGTATTCAAAAGAATGGTAACTTGAGAGTCAGGGATCACCTTTTCTAGCAATCAAGGCATTATTTGGTTAATTAAAGATGATGTATTGTTTACCATATTTAAGGACATCAGAGTATGTTTAATAGACATTTCTTTACTTGTTTTGTATATTCTTTTAGAGACTTATGTAACTCATTGATCTGTATTTCTGATTGTTAGAGATGAAAATGATCAATCTTAGGTCTGAGGACTAGGACTGAAAAACCTGTTCTGTTGGGCTGGGTTTTTCCTGTGAGCACCTGTCACCAAGTAAGTAAGCTTACCGGAGGTACAGAGAAGCAGACACGGTTTCCATTAATACTTTTTATGAAGAAATTATACAAATTTCAATCACCTACCTGATGAGGTGTAAGAATAGCAGAAAGTATCACTCCATCATCTTCTTTCACAGAATCTGGGTAAGGCACAAATATTGGTTCTGAAGGGTAAAATCCATCTTCTTTCCATATCTGGCAAAAAAAAAAGATATGTTAGTAAAGTGCTAACCAAAATTTTGGAGACAGGTAGGGGTTAAGATCCAAAATCAGGAGGCAGCTTTCTCTCAGCTGGTACCCAAAATAGCCTGAGAAGTGTGGAAAAGATGAGAGCACCACAGCACTAGCATTAGTCCAGACCGTTTTTATTGTATATGACAAAGAAAGTAAACAACACATTTCGGGAGCTCAGCTCTCCCCCTTCATCAGGGTTTAAAATGCCATAACTAATTTGCCAGGCACACTGCAGGAGGAAATATTTTGTAGAATGTATCAAAGCATCCAGCCAGAATGCGGCCTTCCTTCGGTACCCAGCCGGAGCCGTCTGGCCGGCCAATCAGGAAGCCGGGCCCCGTGTAATGACGCAACGCCCTGCTTTTTGATTGGCCGGGAGACCGGCTCCATGCTCCCTCGTCATGACATGACGAGGGAGCATGGAGCCGGTCTCCCGGCCAATCAAAAAGCAGGGCGTTGCGTCATTACACGGGGCCCGGCTTCCTGATTGGCCAGCTTCCCGACCAATCAGGAAGCCAGGCAGCGCGTCATTACACGCGGCTGGCTTCCTGATTGGCCGGGAAGTTGGCTCCATGCTCTCTCATCACAAGTGACGAGAGAGCATGGAGCCGCTTCCCGGCCAATCAGGAAACTGGAAGTACTCGTGCTAGGCATCGGAGCATTTGGGCGAGTACTCGTACAAATACTCCGAAACAGCACTGATATGGATACTAGTATCGGTATCGGTGCATCCCTAGTGTATGGGCACCTTAACAAAGGGGTAATTGCTGTACTAGCAAATTTACTATATATCATAAAAAAATCACTCTAATTTAAAGGCTAATTTTCCTTCTACATCATGTAGTGAAACATCTTCCATGCCACTGTGTGACTATTTTTATCCTTTATCATTTAAAAATATTATGTACCTGAAGGCGGTAAGCCTTCCCTTTATTCTCATATATCTTTATCATCTCGTCGATCTTGACGCCCATCACAATCTGCGAAACTGTACTGTAGTACTGTGTGACTTATGAAACCAATAGGTACCACTTATATTTAGATCTTGTAGAACACATAAAACATGCACGGTAATTAAATCCAAAATTCGCTTCCTGCTTGATATGGCCTACATAAACTTGTGGTTTTTTAAAAATAACATTTCAGGTGGATAGTTTCAAGGTAATCTGCAAATAACATAATACTTAAAAACCAATACAATTGTACACATATAAAACTATTTACCATGTCCCCAGCTATGATAACTAACCTTTGATTGCTTTGTCTCCACATCCAATTTAATCAAAGAATCCCCAACCAGGTGCTGGAAGCCACAACCATAGAAATACCGATATTTTCTTGCGTTATACTTGGCATAATTTATCTGTGGAAATTCAATTCCACACATTTCCAACGTTTGGTCATGGAGATTTTCATGGGTACACCAAACCTATAGAATGATATTAGTTTAAATTAACAGACAGGGATTTATGGAACCTAAATAATACATACAATCATTTTGTAATCAGCAGTACCGTGCTTTCAGAAAATGTCTGGTTTAAGGGGTCTTTAGTAAACCTTGAAAGCTGTAAGTGAAAAATGATTTTAAAATGTTAAAAATGGTCTGGCCAACTGAGGTCAAAATTGGAGAGCAGGGCCTGAGAGTGAAAGGGTTACACAATCAATATTTATAATGGAAAAGTAAAGGAAATTTTAAGAAAATTACATTTTGAAAAGAAGATATTTGGCATCGGGTACTTACATTTTCTAAACAAAACAGATGATGGTGTGAAGGAATGAACAGATGAAGGAACTTATCTAAGATCTCAGCTCTTCCGATCTGGCAAGAGAGAATTAGGCTGATGTGTTCAGGTGCAGTTAAACAATACTAAAAGCTGCATCTGCGCACATCAGCTATCTGTGCTATGGACACAGATACACTAGACAATTGGCTGTGTCCAGTTTGTATGCGGCCAGAGAATGAACAGTTACATAGTAACATTGATTTGTAGAGGGTACAAATGCAGCCACACAGCTGCTGGTTGCAGCTGTTCGCACACAAAGTGTGCATGGGGCCGAAGTTTCGCCACTGCAGATTCTTGTCTGCAGAGAAGACTGTGTGAATGAACCCTTACAACTGTGAAACACTTTGTTGCCTGATTCTTCATTTCTAGTAGCAACTCATATTTTAAAGAATGCAGCAGGGCTAATATTAAAAGCTAAAAAAACATTGTTCTAAACTATCTTTCAAAAATCAGGCAAGAAAGCAACTTTCCACATAACAGAATGCCTACCTTTCCATCGGCTTTCTTTTCAGCAGTAGCAGTGGAGTAGTTTAGGGGCTGGGCGATGTCTCCATTGGCAATGGTGTCCAGAGGGAGGACAAATCTGCGTGGGTAAGTCTTACAGAAACTCTTGTACACCTGCAGAAAAAGTGATCACATATCTTAAAAAGCAAATTTTACAGGCACAGGAATTACAAGGCTTGTTAAACAAAACCGTACTCTACAACATGGCTGGGTTTGTTATATGATAGCAATGTTGCTTGTTCTCTAACCAGCTTTGACTTAGTTCATATAGCTATCATGAAGAGCCTGCTTAATTGCCTGACTAGTAAAAAGCCAACGTTTTAAACTTTGCAGAGGTATTTAAAAAAAAAAAAACATATGCCAGCAATGTACACCAAGTACATGAAGTAGGCATATGCAGTTGCTGTATATAAACACAAAAACTTACATTTTTTGTTAGCTTTTCTCTTCATCTCCTCATGGAAATGGCTGCAATTATGCTTCTTACAATGAAAAACAGAGAGGGGGAGAGCTGTTTAGAGTCTACTTTACATTCGACCCCGGTGTCAGACCTGGCAGTTTCCTGTGCAGAAAATGTTTAATTTCTAGGCTTCAGGCCTAATAAAAACCTATTAAAAAAATTAAGAAAGCCTGTAATATGAGTCATGAAAATGTGCACGCATGTACATCATCACTGCACCTCTACAGTACCACAATAAATGCTTATCACTTACAAAAGGTGGAAATGGACGTTAAAGAAAATTGTCACTTTCCCATTCAAGACATAGTGACAGGCTCTCTTCATAGCCCACCAGTAACCTGTTGGGCTAATCAACAGAATCAAGAGAAGAGAACTGTGTCTGTGGAGCCAAGACAAGATTCTCCCCTGGTCTCCTGACATAAATGTACACCAATATTTTATTGTCACCTCATTTAAAGCTTCTCCAGATTTACGCAGATTCTGCAACTCGAAGAGTTGCACAGCTCCTCCATCATCCTGGCAGCAGAGATCAAGCACTATACAATCTTGGTCCTCAAAGGCATTGATTTGATGGAAGTTTAAAAAGGCTTTTGTCTGAAAACTCACAGGGTGCTTCTAAAAAGACAAAATAAAAATGTATGTTTATAATACAACTCCACTACTGCTGCAGCAAGTATACAGTAGTACAAGTGTATAAAGGTTCTGAATGTCACTACCACTGTCACCAGACACAGAATATCATCTGCTAATTTAACTGCTTTATAGTAACAAGTGTATGCTAGACAAATCAAACCATAGCTTGCCTAGTGTTCTGTTTTTGATGTCAGCAAAGAATAGACTCCATTTAAGGTAGCTGCAGCAATGTCTAATCTAATGGTTCTACAAAAGCACTACCATCCTTCCAATACATGAGAAGTACAGGGCATAGCTAAAGACACAACAAGGGATGACATTTCACGTTAACTAATAGGACAAAGCTGTTGCTAATAAATAATCCTGGTATAAGACCAAATGAAGTCTAAACAACCCAGTGAAAGAAACTTCTACTGACTTTGGGTCCAGGTTCCAGTTGGGTAGGTAATTTCTGTGTTTAAATGAGTTCATCGTAACAGGAGCAATCCCTAAACTTTGAAACATTGATACTTGTCTAGCTATGTACAAAACCTAATAGACAGATTCTATTTAAAAACAAAAAGCACAGCAATGGGATATTTTGAGAGGAATTAAACTCTTGATGTTGTACCCAAAAGGAGGCACAGGGCTTGTCACCAATATTGCCTGTGGTGTTTCCCCAATACCCCATGATTTGCCATCCTTGTTCTGCACTGCGTCTCTGTGTCGATGCAGTGATTTTGGTGGAGGCAGGGCTTTGCTTCCTCTTGTCAGAGCCTCCAGCAGTAAGAATAAGCAGCACAGCAGTGACATCACCAAATCTCACTCCAGATATCTTAAAACTAGCAGTAAAAGGCAGCAGTGCCTTACAATTCACACTGCAGATATACAGCCTCGTATAATGCTAAGTGTACAGAAGTGCCCAGGCACCCAACATACCAGGAGGTGCACTGCCCTATGGTTTGATTGCATTTCTTAAAACAATCAGTAGATATGAAAATACTGACAACTAAAGTCCCATAAAAATATTGTTTTTTTTTCCTGTAAAGGTTGAGTTTGGCTCCATCCCCTTCCAAACCTGTTACTGTATAACATTTTAAAAATTACAGTACATAGAAGTACTGCATAGGGATAGTGCATGTGTAGTTTGAGCCAGCAGGTGGAGCGCTAGGTTATATTTTATGTTGACCAGGTTAAAGCAAATCTAAACACAAAAAGCAAAAATTTGATGTGGATGCTGCATTAGATTTCCTTTTTTCCCCTTTATGTTCACTTGGCCTTTTCACCTCATCCAGCCAGTTATTCTGTTATTTTTCCACTTCCTTTAACATACCAGGTTTTTAAGCTTGGCACGTTGGGTCTCTATTTAGTAAGTACAACCTCTTTGTTTATATTTACCCAAAAAATTGGCAAACTAAATGTATTTTGTACTGACATTTTGTGTTTAATAAATAGCTGCGCTAATAACATATCATGCTCCGAGGCATTATCAAAACTGGCACAATTATTGTTTTTCTGAAATGACAATGGTATTATATGGCAATGTTAGGTGTGAGCCTCCAGCTATATAATTTAATTAGCTCAGCTCTGTTCTGGGTATTAGAGGGTGAGGCGTGAGCCTCCTGCCATATATTTGTATTAGCTCAGATCTGTTCTGGGTATTAGAGGGTGAAGAAGATAAAATAGCTTCTATCTATAAAGAATATAACCACTAAACTAAGAACAAATTGCTTTATTCACAAAAGAGCTTTTATTTTGTAAGTGCTAGTAATTAAGTGTAGCTAGCCATAGCAACCAATTGCATTCTATCTTCTACTGGCCTGTGAATTATGATTGATTGGCTGTTATGGGTTACTGCAAATAATAATCACTGAAAAATAACAATTATTTAATAAATAACACTGAATAAAATCTGGCTGTGCTATCTATATTAACCAATGAAATTACAGCTGCCCATGCAAATAAAAACGAAAGGGCGAATGATTGGCTTCTATTAGGACAAAACAAGAAAATCTTTTTTCAGACAGTGAAAAGCAAGACTAAAATAATTTAAAGGAAATGTGTACTAAGAGAATATGGAGGATGCCATTGCTTACCTCTCCCTCTGTAAATGCTAACTGTCTGGCTGACTCACTGACTTTTACAATGTGAGGAACTGACCCGGAACAAATATGCAGATCACAAACTCGGACTTGCTAATCTACATGCTTGTTCCAGCTTTGTGATTGAAAGTATTGAGGCCAGAGACAGCCAAGAAACTATCAATCATAGAAGAAGGTTGGTAATGGCAGCCCCCCTTCCTTTTTTCCTCTCTTTTCTTCTTTTCTCTTTTTTGCTCCCTCAAACCAACATACTGGTCATGAATTCTGCAATTACAGGCCATACCTTTTATATAATGATATTCATGCAAAATTATTTACCTTTCCTGTGTGTTTATTAACAACGTGAAAGATCGTATTAAGCTCGGGCTCCCAGCTCATGATCCCAGCAAAGGACTTTCCTCTTAGCTGGTTGATCAACAACTTTATAATGTTCAATCTTAGAGGTTGCTCCACAAACACCACATAATTTTCACTCATTCCTATAGAGAAAAACAAAAGGTAATTAGACTGAAATGTAGTACAACTTCACTGTCTCAAATAAAGCCTGTAAAAATCAATTCCACAAATAAAATATTAAAATGTTTATGCATGTTACAAGCTTAGTGTTTACCAAGACGGAAGCGTGAAGAAAAACAAACATTGCTATTCTGTAAACAGATTGGTTTGATGCTTTTACAAAGGCAAAATATATATATATATATATATATACAAATAACATAATTCCAAGGAGATTGTTAGTGGTTTATATTGTAAATATTCCTTTCTTTCTCATCCATTGAGGGACACTGAAAGTCATTACCTGTTGGGTTATACTGCTGCCTGCAGCAGGACTGGACACTAGCAACCAAAACATAGGATACGCCCTCCTACTCCCTACCTGAGTTTTTTTTTTTAGTGTCCTAGGAGGACGGACATCCCAGTGAGTTGATATATATATAGTTGTTAAAACAACTATATATATCAACTCACTCAAAAATAATTTGTTGCAAATGATTTCCAGGGTTACCCAAAGTGACAACACAAGAGAAATGTCCTGTGGCAAACTTTGACTGGAATCTCAGAGGGAGAAATGCAAAAAGGGATGGGCCACCTTTCTTACTCATTCACTTGTGTGTGTACATTTTAGCTTGAACTTTTGAGGTCCGTAAACAAGCTTTTTTTGAGCATGTAATGAGGAGACAAAGGAAAAACGCAAAGAAGCCTAAAGCTCAATAGGAGACAAAATATTAATATGCAGTATTTTACATTTACCTGACCAAAGTAAAAAACAAAAAGTAACATTTTTATTTTTTTTGCTTCTGAAATATCAAAGAAAAAAACTATTTACAAAACCACCTTTGATTACATCCCCATTAGCAAAGTATCCAAACATTTGAGAAATCTTGACTTTAAAATCTCATTTTGGTATTCACAGCCCAACTCACCAAAGCTGTGATAATAGGCAGGTTTCATTTTCCTCTCTGGTTCTATGGAACATATGACTTTGGCTCCCTCCAGAGTCTCCCCTGAGCTAGACTTTTGAGGGGGAACTCTTATTATATTGTACCGTGTCCCTGTAAGAAACAAATAATCACATGGTGACAATAAGCGTTTACGAGTCTTACCTACAGTTAAAAACATATAGCAAAAATAACTCCATATATTATAGAAATTATTGTACACAAAATTTTTTTTCTATTGAAATAAAACCTGTTATTACCCTAAGGCTGAGTTCACATGTGTGGTGTGGTGTTGTACATTTACACATATTGAGCAAAGGAAGTGCATTCATTTGACAATGATAAAAGTGCATGTGCTAGTTTTGTAATGTAACGTACCACAGTACGTAATAGTTTGTGCATTGATGCACAGTGTGAACCTAGCCTTAGGGTAGTAGACCGGCTACTACACTACAATGCCTAGTCATTCTAGAATCTTAGATGCCCTCTCCAGCATCCTGGGTGCTCTAAATCGCAGGCTACTTCAAATATTACAACTTTATAGAAATACTGAGTGCTCACTCACCCTTTCTATATAGCTGCTGACCACTATCTATGACTGGCAGCCTTACTAGCCAACAGGAAGTGCAATGGACATTACCAAGAAGTGTTTAAAAATGCACACTCTGAATATTTCGCTATTTGGCCAGAGTTCAGCTTTCAACCTGTCGAGCAAGTTTTCAAGTTTTGGTAAATTTGTCTGCAGTTTCTCTAGTAAGTCACATTTTTATAATGTAAAAATAACATTTTAAATAACCGTACACTATCAAGGATTGTATGAAAGGGGACATATTCCTCATACATGCTTACCATCTTTCCCATAAGAATTTCCCATATTGTATACAGTCCCATCAGGATCATAATGTGGGTGAGCTGTAGCACCATTTACGGCAATAAACTTGCTCCAGTCCACCTATTCATTAACAAATAACAATAGGAAAAAAGATAATAAATCCTCACCTGCTGTTCACAAAATGGTACTATGTATACGTGTCACCTTTGTGTGCTACAAAAAAGGCTTTTTTTTGCTATATAAAAGTAGTGCCTTTCAACATAAACAAATAAAGAAAAACAGAACATTAACAGACTGTTTTATTGCTTAGAAAACCGTGTGTACTTTGAATTTTTAGTACTGATGTTCCTTAAGCTTAAAATACTGTATGTTTGCTATATGACAGCAAAATATATCCTTCTCATAAGGGTTTTTTTTCCATTTCAGAGCCATGGGGCTCTAAACAACATACCAAGGCGTTGTTTAGACAGATGCTGGATGCAGAAGAGTAACCAGTGCCATGTTTTTTATAGTAGTTTGTGGACTGAGATCAGAATGCTCTCCCCCACATGATAAATCAATGGTCAGCTATAGCCAAAACACTGCTTTCTGTGCAAAAACTGCATCTTACCTTTAGGCTGCATCTCGTTCCCCCCTGACCACATGTATACTGAGTAGGGATGAACTCGGGTACAGGGTCGATGCCATATTAGGTCAATGTCATTGACCAAATATGGCCATGATGCAATATGAGGTCAATGATGTCACCAGGGTCCTTCTCATTCATTTACGTGAAGCTGCAGGCGGGGAATGTCCAAGTCAGCTAATTGGGATGGCACGGACTGCTTCCTTCTGGGTCTGGATCCCTAATATTTAGCCATTAGACTCACACTTTTCACAATTATAAATTTTTCATAGTTTATTCTGCACATGGTGAATACATACAGCTGAGCACTGTACTGCCATCAATAAGCTATATGTTTTAGATATTCTGTGATTTGTAGTGATAGGTGCTCCATCTTTCATTTGTGCTCTCCAAAATTCTATAAAATCTACCCTGAAATCCATTTATTTAGATATTACCTTGTCCAGGGTTTTCAGACTTGCGGCATCTACTTTTCGCATGAAATTGGTCTCAGTGCTGACATAATAATCTCCTTTATAAATCACATAATTTACACTGCAGTTGTCAGTAGATACTAAAAAGAAATCAAGAAAATAACCACAAGTTATATCCACAGAACTATTGAAATATTGGAATTACACAGCTGGCTGCTACATGGTGATTGCAGAGGTAACAACATTGGCTAAATGCTATACCATAATTGCATGTAAACATCGACATCCAAAAAAAAAAAAAACAGCTTTTGTACTTGCCGAGAACTGCCGGCATCCCAGTGATACCACATAATGCCCATTATTGTCCAAAATTGCCCATGGATCATTATCCATGCAGCTGTATGTGGAAACCTCACCTAACATGGTTATCAGATTTTGCTATAAGGTGAATCTGTACTGACCAATATTAGGCAAAGCAAAAGGTTCACTTCACAGGAGGGACCATCATCCTTCAGTACTTTCTTTCCCCAGCCAGCCCCACCACCCCGATCTGCTGCCAGACCAATAAACATTTCTGTTCAAGCTTTTTACTTTTAAAGCAAGCCACACTTACACAGCTGTGCACTCTACTGATGTGACAGTGCGTGCACCAGCTGACTACTCAAAGATGGAGCTCAGCACTGTGTGGAAGAAGGAGGAGTGTCACCTGTGCCCCTATACATGAATGTGCCAGGTAGTTCTCAGGCAGCCTGGCAGTGGCATGGGAAAGAAGGTTATCATGGAGAAGGTAATTTCTGGTTCCTTATGGCCCCTCCCATAAAGTAAACCAGTTATTTTGCCTACTATAGGCCAAGTACAGGTTCACTTTAAGACTCGCTACTAGGGCAAACAAACTATTTTAATTTCAATCAACCACAACCACCAGGTAAAACTGATCAGTTGTTATGGTATACATCATGGCCAGTGATGTGTGGGGGATTGGGCAAACTTGGGTGAACTTGATTAAGACCAAGCCTCCAAGTTTGCTCGAGTTTGTTCAAGCCCACGAAACACTGTCACTGTCACAACCCCCTCTCAGCCAATCAGTTGTGGCAGGGGCATTCCCTGCCCCTTTAAGACATGTAACTGCAGGTCAGTGAATGACCCTGCTGCAAGTTATTAGGTTGGGGGGGCGGTCTCTGACAGTTTTGCAGGGCTTGGAAGAACTGTGTTCCCACCAAGCCCCCACACATTAGCTGACAAATCAAGGCACCAGATCTAGTTTTGTCATCCTTGTGAACCTATTTGCTTTTTAATCTTATTTGTCTTACATCACAATGCATTCATTTGAAACCTTTGCTGGTCAGAAAATAATGCAGTAATGCTCTAAAGAGCAAGGATTCCTATTTGGAGAACTGGAACGGGAACGAAGCACAGAAAAGGTCCACGCATTTTCTGTACAGGGATGATAAATTGTGCCTAGTGCTGCTGAGCCTTAATCAGTGGTCTTTGCATTGCCTTCTTAAAGTACTCAAATCTGGCCCCTCTCCCACCCCTTCCTATACGTACATTTGGCCGAACGCTTCTTCCTCTCTGCCGGTGCTGGTGTACTATCCATACTCCATACTGCCGTACACGCAGCCCTGCGCACATGGCGAGCACTCATTGGTCAGTGCGGTCACCTGACGGCGCTGACCAATGAGAAGCACTTCTGACCGGGCATACCAATGAGTGCTTCTGGCGGATAGTACACCAGATCAAAGTCTAAAGTAAAAGATATGCATGTGCACATAACCTTTGTATGATTTTTGTACAAAAAGGAGGAAATACACCTTGCTGGAATGAACTGTGTGTATAGCTGAGATCTGTAAAGTCAGACATAATTACCTAGTTAATCAGGCTGAAAAAAGACACAAGTCCATCGAGTTCAACCTATAGAGAAGATTTCTGTAAAGCCAGATACATCACTTACTCTTCTGAAAATCAAATCTGGATTTCATGCGATCAAATACAGACATGCAGGGGTCTGGAGATGCCAATGTACCGAACTCTGACGCCACAATCCGATTCTGGCTCAAATTCATTGTATAGGCGTCACTTTCCAAAAATTTGCTCATGTAGGTGACAGAGCCATTGTCAATGTTGAATTTATGCATTAAGGCCATGCCATCGAACCAGTGATTGAACCTGAAACAAGAGAAGCCATGCTTGAATAAGATAGGAAATACCATAAGCATAAAATCTCCACTAATACAGATACAGTTATGTCTTGTTTGGTATCTCTAAGCTCTATTTAAGACCTCCTATATTTTATAGTGCTGAAGTCTTGCTAAAACTGAACTTTAACCAGATATAAAAACGTAATTCAATCCATCTACGTATTAATTAAAATGAATTGAAATTCATTAAATGTATTTGTACAGAGGACTAGCTAATGTACTTCACTCTGTCTTGACATCGGTCTTCTGTATTGCTGTCCACAGCAGTACTCTGGGAGAGTCAGCACACATTGTTAAACATGTCTACAGAATGAGAGAGCAGAGTGATGACTTCATCAGTTTGTTGTTTTTCTCTATTTGTCCAGTTACCCGCTTGGGACAGGTAAATGGGGGTTCTGTAGATCTACAGGGACTGAAGAGATGCTAGTGAGGCATTCTGAAATTTTTAGCGGTAAACCAAGAAAGATACCATGTCATCTTGGGACTGGTAGTTCTGCAGGTACACGAGACACAATAGTGAGCAACCTGTATTGCTTAAAGAAAACATTATTCTTTTTTAGGGCTGGTGCAGACCTGGGCAATCCGGGACGCACGTCCCGGGACTGCGCAATTGTGTGCAGTTGCATACAGCGGTTGCCGCGTGGCCCTATTGATTTCAATGGGGTTACATCCGTGCAGCAATCATAAAAAAAGGTACATGTGCCTTTTGCGACACACGTCGTGCGGCTGTTCTAGAATTATTTTCTAATGGCACCCCAGTCACACCGGGCAGAATCGTAGCGGGAAACCACGAAATCAGTAAGGTGCGACTGGGTTGCCATTAGAAAATAATGGCACCGCCAGCGTGATTGGCGGTGGTGGGCGATTCCGCATCGGTTTCGTACACAATGGCCATAGTGTGTACCTGGCCGTAAAGAAGAAGACCAGGAAAAAAAAAATGCATTAACTCTTAACCATCCGACTCCCTGCTTCTGTAAACACTGAAGCGTGTCTGCTCTACCACTACATAGATGCACTGCTCCGCAGCATCCTCACATCTACACAGTCTATGCACAGTGTATAGATCGTGTTTACACCAGGATCTCTAGACCGCTGTAGCAGAGGGGAAGAGACGCTTCAAACACCAGTCTAAGAGAAAGCCGGCTCGCGTGGTCTGGCGAGTATAACTTTTCTTTTAGCCCCTAGACATAAACCAGTACTTAACCCTTGCAGTGCTGGGGTAGTCCCACTGCAAGAGTTAATAAATTGTTTTCCTGGAGTTCAAGTTTACAGAAGCTACTGCCAAATACTATGAACCATTCAGCTATAAAAATGCTCATAGGTGCGTATTGAGTGAACAAACCTGTGCTCCACTCTCTACATAGAGACCTAGTTTTTCCCTAATTCCCACTGCTGCCATCTCCCATGGAAGCATGAATTACAAGATTGGCTGAACACAACTAAAAGCCATTTGGCAGGTGAAATGCTTAATTCACTATATATTTATTTCAACTGTGTATTTAACATTTTGCCTGGAGTCCAGATTTAATGTTCAAATATACAGTCAGTCTTTCACACTTCTACAGGTTCCTTTCCTGTACTGGAATTGCTTACTCTGATTTCAATGCACACTGTTAACGGTAACAGTACATTAAAGCTCAGCAGAAGCTGTAATTAATCCCAGACCTATCCTCTTCCCCTTTAAATAATCTCCCAGTATTTAATTTCCCCTTCACCTTTTCCCTGGACATAGATATCCAACTTTTATAGGTCCTTTGATGTCATCGCAAAGTACTGCGACATCAGGAGCTAGTAGGAAGGACCTGTCTGTAGGTAGACCCATGGGGCTGTGGGCGGATCTGTAGGTGAAGACAGGACAGAAGACAACTCCCCTATCCTCCCTGGGACACATAACTCACTGCAGGGAAAATGTGCATTGCACTCTCTCATTGGAGAATTGATGTTGTGCAGCCTCCGTTTGAGTGTCCTTCCACTCAAACTGAGGTTGCGCAACATCAATTCTCAATTCTCCAATGAGAGTGACAAAGCTCATGTGTGCCTACACTACCAGGCTCCCTCTGTGTTATGCTTTTACTGAACACAGGGTAGAGGTGCAGGGCTACACACCACACTGCGTGTAATAAAAAAAAAAGAAAAAACAAATTCTTCTTCCGAGGTAAGCCTGTCACTAATAAATATAGATTATATAT